TATCCCAGACGGCCCCAACCAGATAGACATAAATCAGATTTGATAGACCACAAATCCTCTCGAAGGAACATCAATTCCTATCAAAGATGATACGTGAGACTATTGAAATAAAAAAAATCCTTATTTAAATAGAGAAGGAGGCTTGGTACTACCACCTGCTTGGGACCCTTTAATTAATGAAATTAAAACTAAACCCAAGCATACCACTGCAAGACTTCAAGACACAGTAAGTTCATTCTGTAGATCGGACCATAAATAAAAATTAAAAATCTGAAGGTATTCCAGATTAACACTGACATTGGGACGTCAGTCACCTCAGTCCGCCGTGACCATGGGTGCTGGAAAGCACCCGAAATGTCTGGAATTAAAAATCAAAGAACTAAAACGCGATAAAATTGATAAAAGTAGTTGTTAAAAAAACTGTATTTGTGAAAATAAAAACATATATCTTTAAAATCCTGTCTTTTTTAAAGCAATTCCTTTACCATTTCATTCTTTTAATTGCATATTATCATATCTATATACTTTTATATGTGGGCACCCATGGCCGAAGTGTCTATGAAGAGTGGGCAATCCCCTTTGATATTAGAAATTCACTAATTAACTACACTGAGATTACTCGAGTATCCTACCGGCTGCACCAATAATGGAAGTCGCCGCCGGAGGACCCAAAAAAAAAACCAAAATTACTTTCATTCATTTTAATTTAATAGATATTACAATCAAAAGAACTAATATTAATTAAACCTAAACCCCGCCCGATGTTAGAAACATTTCGTATATATAGGTTTTGTAAGGAGCTTCCATATAAGAACTCCCCCCTGAGAACAGCAACTATTTCTAAGTCTTGAGATAATGAAATATTGCTGTCTGTCATAATTACAAACAGTGAAAAAAAATTTATTTGTTGAAAACATTTTAATCTAATAAATCGATGACGCACAGTGCCCGTGGTAGCTCAGTGGTTAACGCTCGCTGTAAATATAACAGAACGCGAGTAACCCGGGTTCGATCCCCGTCGGCTCCAATGAAATTGTTAATTGCAATTTTAAGTGCTGATTTACCACGTGCTCGTCGGTGAAGGAAAACATCGTGAGGAAACCTGCATGTCTGAGGAATAAAAAAAAATATTTCGAAGACATGTGAAGTTCGTCAACACGCATTTGGGCAGTGCGGCGGACACTTCCTTGCCCTAAACCCTCTCAGAAATGAGGGGAGGCCTGAGCCCAGCAGTGGGACGTATATAGGCTGTAACTTTACTTTACTTTACTTTAAATCGATGACGAGGGCAGTACGCCGCCGACCATCCCGCGGTGTGAGTGCTCCATGCCGGAAGTGCAGTTCACACAGCACTCGGTTCGCAAAGCACTCCTCTCCCTGGACATCCACAAGTCGAGTGGGCCTGACGGAATCCCCCCCATTGTGTTGAGGACGTGTGCTCCAGAGTTGGCACCGGTTTCAACGCGTCTTTTCCGGTACTCCTACTCCCTAGGCGTAGTCCCAAAATCATGGAAGACGGCTTTCGTCCACCCGATCCCTAAAAAAGGCGACCGCTCAGACCCGTCCAACTACCGGCCTATCGCCATCACCTCCTTGTTCTCCAAAACAATGGAGTCCATTGTAAACTGCCAGCTCATGAGGTACCTTGAGGATCACCAGCTGATTAGTGACCGCCAATACGGTTTTAGTCGTCGGTCAGCTGGTGATCTTCTGGTTTACCTAACTCACAAATGAGCGGAGGCAGTAGAGTCTAAGGGGGAGGCATTGGCCGTTAGTTTGGACATTGCGAAGGCCTTCGATCGGGTTTGGCACAAAGCGCTTCTTTCGAAGCTCCCTTCCTATGGGCTTCCCGAGAAATTGTGCAATCGGATCACCAGCTTTCTTGCAGATCGGAGCATCAAGGTCGTTGTAGACGGTGCAAGCTCCGATTGCAAGCCTATTAATGCTGGTGTTCCACAAGGCTGCGTGCTATCGCCAACGCTGTTTCTTCTGCTTATCAATGATATGTTGCAAACCCGTAACATTCATTGCTATGCAGATGACAGCACTGGTGATGCTCTTTACACCGACCGAGACAATATTTCTCGGGAAAATGTCTCTGAGTGCCGGGACAAACTTGTGTCTGAAGTCGAGTCTTTGCTGAACAGAGTCTCGGATTGGGGGCGACTAAATCTAGTCCAGTTTAACGCCCAGAGGACACAAGTTTGCGCGTTAACCGCTAAAAGAACCCCTTTGTCGTATCTCCTCAGTTTCAAGGCACTCCCCTTGTTGCCTCAGCCAGTATCGGAATCCTCGGCGTCAACATATCGAGTTACGTGCAGTTTCGTGGTCACTTGGAAGAGAAGGCCAAATTGGCCTCTAAAAAGCTTGGCGTGCATAGCAGAGCGGGATAGTATTTCATGCCGGCACACCGCCTGCAACTTTACAAGGCGCAGCTTCGGCCGCACATGGAATACTGTTCCCATCTCTTGGCTGGAGCTCCTCAGTACCAGCTCCTTCCACTTGACCGCATCCAACGCAGAGCGGCTCGAATCGTCGACGACTGAGTGCTTTCCGATCGGCTCTATTCATTGGCACTGCGAAGAGATGTTGCATCTCTTTGGATTTTCTTTCGCATATACCATGGAGAGTGCTCTGAGGAATTGTTCGGATTAATCTCAGCCACCAAATTTCGTGAACGCACAACGCGGCAAACGTCCCGATACCATCCACACCATCTGGATGCTTGGCGGTCCACCACTGTACGTTTCAAAAGGAGTTTTCTTCCACGTACAACCTCTCTGTGGAATAGTTTACTACCGGAGATTTTTCCGGACCGATACGACCTGGGGATCTTCAAGAAAAGAGCTTACTCCTTTTTAAAGGGCCGGCAACGCACCTGCAATTCCCCTGGTGTTGAGGTTGATCATGGGCGGCGGTAGTCACTTAACATCAGGGAACAATTAAAATTTTTATCTGAATATGTTTAAAAGTCATAAAAATTATTGTATAACCTAAAACGACGTTATCGCCCTTTCTCACTCGAGGCCACGCTAATTATTAGTCTATAGGTTTCTCTGCCTACGGGTTTTGGTAATGGCATAGATCACAAACTAATAAGAGTATTAAGGCATAGATATAGTTAAGTTAAGAATCGTCAATTAAGGCAGGCAAAAGTCTTATACCATACAGACTATCCTGGTTTGTATTTTGTTCATAAAAATCTTCACAATTCGTTGATGCCTTGATTTTCTTTTGACTCCGTGATTTTCTTAGGAAACTTCGAGGACAGATTAACCCAGCAGATAAGCAGCGGACAGCAGACCTCTAAGCGGATAATAAAACAGATTTATAACACAATCGAATCAGATATTACATCGTTTCTATTATTAATTCATACGTGCAGACATTTATTATAAAAAATCATACATTTTTAGGAACAAACATTCAATTTAAACTATTATTTATTCGCTAAAACAGAAGTAGCAATTCGTCATTTCATAAGTTTCCGACAAAACTCATAAGCATAAACAATACTAAAGGGACACTGACTGACTGAGTCAGAACTCTGATAGAATTATAGATAAACGGATCATAGACGTATATGAAACATACACATTTTAACATAAAAATTTATATATTAATTATTATTTTATAACAAAATTAACGTAAAAAAAACAAATTAAAAATCCTATTAAAACCATATTCTTCTACGCGGACGAAGTCGCGGGCAATAGCTAGTACCTTTATAAAACTATTGTTGACTTTAAATTAAAACCCACAATTACCTGCATGTTAAAAAGGTAGGTGTAGGAAACTTAACATCAAAAATAGTAATTACTAGCTGCCTGCAAAGCAATGTCTTATGTTAATAATAATTTGATACATGACAAAAACTAAAGTATTATTAAAATAATTATATTTTATTTTAAAAAAAATACCATCTACGGGCCATTGATTCATCACTATAAAAATGAGTTCTACGGTTTAGACATGAAAAATAGTGTTCTGTGATGAAAAATGACAAACCTAGAAACAAGATGAAAGTCATAAATAAGTTAGAAAACTTGGGGTATTTTCACCCATGGATAGTGTGCCGTGTAACCGTGGTCATATGAAAACATTCTCAGAATCTTTTATCGATGTTATTATTATAGAGATATCAAAATGGGCTGCCCTATTAACCGCCATTTTATACTCTCAATAAAGTGTAGGTTTCAGAGTAATTACTAGCATAGAGAGAGTCCTAAAATAGGAACAAAATTATTATAGCTGTCTTTATGCATATGACTTTTAATATAGTACAAAATAAGATAGCTATATTATTCTCACCTTCTTTCTTTTACAAGGTGGTTGCAGTTTTTCCATTCCATAGACACATCTATTGATGTGCAATAAGTGAAACAAAAATGTTGTCCATGGCGACTACTGTGGTCCATTTCGCGTTACTAATTTTCAGAGGAAGCTTGAGTATAGAAATGCTTCAATATATATATCCTTTAATTTTTGCTTCATTCTCAACTTTTGAGTGCAATCCAATTTTGTGAACAGCTTTTCGATTTTGGGAAGAAATAGTGTCAGACTACGTTGATTCATTATGCAGCCTGTGCGTGTTTACGGTAACATCGTTAAGAGGAGACAAGCGAGCGGCTTAGGACCGATTAGAACTGTCCGAAGCAACTCTATCGTGCAGCCTGGGACCAGTCAGGCTGCCCAGTCTAGTGATTCTAAACCTACGACATGCACGACGCTATGTTACATCGTGCCATATCTCAAACTAGGCCGCTGATGCTAAGCGATTGGAATGGCCATTTAGAAGTAACCGATGAATGCGCTCTAGGATTAGCGCTATTCCAAATTGCCTCAGATGATTTGTGAAAAAGGAAATGTTTGTTACTTTCAAAGATGGGGTTCGGCAAAAGCATGTCGAGATCCATCGAATTAATAATTACTCTTCGGTAAAAAATTATTTATTTCGGAATAACTACGCGTTCACCGTGGCTGATTTAATACTTAAGCACATGGGAGACAAGGGTGTGGAACAGTATCTTTCTGAATACACTCTAGTTTCCCAACTCCTCGACAAGATTAATAGAATTGAATCAGTGAAAGATAGGTGGATACCGACTTTTTCACCTCCGATTAGGACATTGAGTGCTCTTCTTAATCAAGAGCTAGAGGTACCGCTCATTGGAGCAAGTTTTGAGATCCAGGGCGGCTACACTCTTAAACCGCGGACAATAGGCCAATGGTTCCTGATGTTATTGCTGGAAAGAGTAAGACGCCAGGTCGATGAGGGAATCGGGCTACACACACTGATATATTGTGTGTGCTGGTGTGCTCCTTTAGTGAATGAGCATGATTATGAGCGCTTGCGGTACAGCGCTACAATGATCAAAGCTTGGTTGTTGCAAAATACGTGCCAGGACTGCGTTTATAAGTTCCTTCGGGAGCATCGCGCTGACTTAGCGTTTGAATATTACTTCAATATTGCTGATTCCTTTTCGGAATGCATCATCCTGCCCGAAATGCGAACTTCAATAAAATAGGAGCGTGCGCTCAGGAGGATTTCGACGCAAACGAGCAACCCGGCTTTTTGCGGACCTTCGGGCAGCACTCATTCTTAACCTCTCCTTACGCCAATACTAGTCTGCCCGTTAGGGTTAAGCTGTGTGTGTTAGTCTATGACTTAATAAAATTAAGGATTTTTATTTATCCGTTTCGTAATACTTATTTATATCAATGAAAGTTTATGGAAGGTTCATTTGACATCTTACAACAAAACGTAGTCGAATAATGCGTCTAAGCTCTCCTACGCTCGTAAGTCGAATTAAGGCGGTCTAAGCTCTCCTACACTCTTTAAATTATATATGAATAGGCTCCTTGATGAGCTCAGCAGTACTGGTATCGGTTAGCACATAGATGGAGTTTGTATTAATAACATAAGCTATGCAGATGATATGGTGCTGCTGAGTCCATCAAGTGCAGCCTTAAAGAAAATGTTAACCATGTGCGAGTCTTATGTTGTAGCCTAGGGGCTCAAGTATAATGCTGTTAAGAGCAAATTCATGACGTTCAATCCAGACAACAAGCGATACACTAATGTGCCACTTTTTAAGCTCTGTGGTACCTCTTTGAAAAAAGTTGAGACCTTTAAGTACCTGGGCCACTGGATCACAGAAGACCTGAAAGACAACGAGGATATTGAGAGGGAGCGGAGGTCACTGTCTGTCCACTGTGATATGTTGGCCCGCAGATTTGCTAAATGTACTGACGAAGCAAAGATTACGCTTTTCAAGGCTTACTGTCAGTCATTTTATACATGTAGTCTGTGGGTTAACTTTACGCAGAGGACATACAGTGAGCTTCGCGTACAATCCAATAACGCGTTCCGGGTATTGATGGGGCTGCCGCGTTTCTGTAGCGCTTCTGCTATGTTTGCGGAGGCTCATGTAGCCATAATGCGTAAAAGTTGCGCTTCACACCTTAGGCGCATTCGCGACAGCCCCAAGAGTATCTTGAGCACATTGACAGACCGTTGGGACTCACCGATGCTTGCTCGATGGATACGACTGCACGCAGTCAAGTAGTCATCTTGTGGGCAGGACCGGGTGCCATGTATGTTTGTGTGCTTTGTCTGTGTTTTATGTTATATGTTAAATTGTCAATTACTAATTTTAGTTATAAGCTCTAAAAATTGTAACTTACCAATATGGATAATAATGACCGAAATAAATGTTTATTATTATTATTAATGCAGATATTTGATACTATCCTTGCATAATTTAAAATATAGCGTGAAAAGTTCATTATAATATCTTTTTCAATTCAGCCGGTATATTTCTACCAAATTATACTTAGTATGGGTTTTAGAAGGAATAATAACTGTGTTTGTTTAATCGACATTGGGTTTTTGTCACGTAACGTACACAATGGGTACTTCTACGATAGTCTTTTTTATAAAATAAGGGTGCCAAACGAGCACACAAGCCACCTGATGGTAAGTGGATGCTGTGGCACTTAAATATCTTCATTTATCCGGTATATAATCGAAATGCATACCCGTTGTCACACCTGAGGACGAAGATAGAATGCCCCGTCCCCAGTAAAAAAAGGTCACCGGTTCTCTACAATTACTATGCGAAGCACAGCAGCCTTAAGTTGCCATTTTACGCTGATATTCTGTGAGAGCATGGTCCTACCCTGGTCGAGCCAACCCATTCGTGCTACAACTATTTTAGTTCGGCATGGCTCTACCACGTAAATTAGTATAGTGATATAACATTGGCGCGACCGCCTGTTCTTTTGTCACTAGATCACAACTACCAATAAATCGATTAGGAACGTATTACCCGTTTTCTCTCTGCTCCCTCAAAATATTATTCATCATTCATTTATTAAACAGAAATAGAAACAGAAACTTTTTTATTCAATGTAGATTATAACAATACTTATTGAAAGTCACTTTTTTCATTTACCACTGGTTCGCAAAAAAAAACCTCTGTCCTGGGAAGAATCAGCAAGAAACCCAGCGGGACTATTTTTTTTTCCAATAATAGCTTAAAATCATGTTTACAATTAGCAACACAAGACAAATTAGAAATAGCTTGGTAGCGATCACCCTTCCCAGGGGTTATTATCATCCATAAATTCCATGTTAATATTATAATAACCCTTTTTATACAAACTTAGTTTAATAACATTTTTTGAACTTTGTGTATGACAATTTTTGTATATTTTCTGGGATTTTATTGTAAAAGCGTATACATCGCCCCAAGAATGAATTACTGACTCGGTGGAGTCGAGTAACTGGTACTACTAGCTTGTGTCTGTTCCTAGTATTTACAGAATGAATATCACTTATTTTCGCAAAATTACTTTTATTTTTGTGTACGTACATTACATTTTCATAAATGTATTGAGAGGCCAGAGTTAATATATTAGTTTCCTTAAATTTTTGTCTGAGTGACTCTTTTGGTTTTAAATAATATATTTCTCTAATGGCCCTCTTCTGTAAAATAAATATAATTTCAGTGTCAGTCGCGTGTCCCCATAGCAAAATACCATACGACATAATGCTATGGTAATAACTAAAGTAAACTATTCTAGCTGTTTCAACACTGGTAAGAGTTCTAATCTTTTTTGCAACATATGCTGCGAACTAAGTCTGCTAGCTAGTTTTGATATATGGGGGAGCCATTGAAGCTTTGCGTCCAGTGTGATTCCAAGAAAAATGGTGGTGTCAACAAGACTCAGTTCCTCCCCATTTAAAATTACATATTAAGTATTGACATGTTTAACATTAGGAGTTACGAATTTCATACATTTAGTTTTATTCCGTTCAAATGCAAATTATTAACATTAAACTAATTGACTAACTTAGCTATAGCATTATTTACTTCGTCGTAATTTAATAACTGTCTTTTTAATTTGAAAATTAATTAAGTATCATCAGCAAATAATACTATATCATGGTTATCCCCTACTATGTAAGGTAAGTCATTAATATATACAAGAAACAGAAAGAGGCCGAGAATTGAGCCCTGAGGCATGCCCATTTGTACAATCGACCCGGAAGAACTCATACTATTAATGACAACTTTTTGTGTTCTGTCACTTAAATATGAAATAATTAACTTTAAGAGCATCGTTTCTTACACCGTAGTGTTGAAGTTTCCTGATTAATGTTTCATGGTGAACACAATCGAAGGCTTTGGATAGGTCACAGAACACACCCAAAGCATCCTGTGAATTCTCCCATGCATTAAATATATATTTACTCAGCTCAACACCAGCATCAATTGTCGAGCGACCTCTTATGAAACCAAATTGATTTTTATGAAGTAAATTATTAACATTAAAAAAAATAACATTTGATCAAGAATAATTTTTTCAAAAATTTTACTAAGTGTTGGCAGTACAGAAATAGGTCTAAAATTAGCGGGATCCAATGTACTACCAGATTTAAATAAATGTATTATTTGAATATGCTTCATTAAATCAGGAAACACACCAGATTCGATACTAGTATTAAAAATAATAGATAGTTGAGGTGCGATTGTATCTATTATAGACGCAATAACTTTAACAGAAATCCCCCACAGATCGGCGGTTCTCTTAATATCAATAGTCTTAAAATATTTTACAATATCTTTTGATGACACTTTATGAGATGTAAAATTCTTTGTACACACATTTACATTTTGTTTAAGTAATGATTCGGCGATGGCATGAGAAGAATTCAGTGACTTAGTGGTTAAGATCGGAATATCAGTAAAATATTTCTCAAAAACCGTTGCAACGTTCTGATCTGATTTAGTAAATTTATTGTTAAAACTTAACTGGTAGTTCGAATTGCGAGAGTTGACCTTACCAGTTTCACTATTAATTATACTCCATGTCATTTTAATTTTATTAGAAGCAGTCTTTATTTTGTTGCTCAAATACAATGACTTGGCTAAGGAGCACACTCTTTTAAATATTTTGGAATATTTTTTTACATATTCCCTAAATTCGACGCTAGGATTATATGACCTTTCATTGTAAAGTTCATATAACCTTTGTCTACTCTTATGGACTCCTACTGTCGCCAATGTATTAAATGCATTGCGATTGTTCAAGGAGAATGTTTTAGAAATAAAAGTATTATTAAATTCATTGCAAATGAGCTCAAATAATGTACAAAAAATTTGGATTATTTTGGTATGAAAGTAATGGAAGTTTTTTTACTATGCTACTTCTAAACTTCTCTAAGCGATGTGAATTTACCGGAACAAACACTACTTATTTATCTACTTGCTTTTTGTGAACTTAAGGTAATGAAACTAATTGTCCACAGTGATCAGAGCTCAATTTTTGAATTATACATTTATTGAACGTCTTAACATTTGTAAAAATGTTATTACACACAGTTGTTAGTACACTAGATTCAGCAATACGTGTTGGTTCCAAAAATAAATTAAAAAGACTATAAGATTTAAACAATGATTTAAATTTAATATTGGTGGAGGAAGCTTCTAAAAGATTGATATTAAAGTCTCCACATATTACAACAGATTTATTCTGTTTGTTAAGCTTAGCGAAAACTTCCTCCATAATTTTTTCAAAAGTATCATATAAAGAACATGGGGGTCTGTAAACGCTCACAACAATGAGGTGCTCAAACTCAACACATGCCATTTCTACAGTTCGCTCAACAGAGAGGCTCACAATATCGTTACGTTCTTTACATGATAATAATTTACTAGCTAAAATTAAGGAACCACCTCTTAAAATTGTTTCTCTATTGAAAGAACTGACCACCTGGTGATTACTGAAGTTAATTAAGTTTACTTAAGTTTGAAAATACAGCCAATCAAAAGTCCACTGCAGAATGTAGGGGAAACATTTGCCATAGTTCCCTCTCTTAGCAAGTGGTTTAGTAACCGCATTTTTTTATTATTTTATTTTGAAGATACTGTTGCCGATCTCATGTTTCATTGCTCTCTGTCGTCTTTTACAGTATTCACGGGATAGTATGGGGTCTTAAAGCTTCTGAGTAATAATATATCATATTATTTGGTAGGAGGTAGTGAATTTTTTTCGCCACCACTATACAGCGTTATTAAGATCCTACCTTACCTTCACGATTTAAAAATATTTTCATCCAAACAGGTAAAACGTTTTAAGAATATAATCGATGGTTTATATTTTCCGCTAATCAAGTGGTAAATCTAAATAAATAAAAATCAATTACCGCATGTATGAAAGATCATCACTTAAGAAAGGCTGAACAGATTTCGATGAACTCTCACACTTATAATTGGACCCTGTATGTGGCATTGTTTTCAAGATAGCAAACAGTCGTAAAAAGCCTGGGCGGGTCGTTAGTCAGTGCACAAAATTATGATTACAAATGGGATCCTACTCGCTTGTGTAACGTGTGTCTGCTCCTAAGTTGATGTCTGTTACCTGGCACTAGTGCCATCTAGTGTCGGGTAACAGGGCGAGGAGAGCTTTCCAGAAAATGTGAATGAAATGACTCATCGTTCAACCAACATCGCCATCTAGTATCGAGTTGAAGAACTAAGCTTTCTGGAAAGCTCCACACTCGAAGTTTCTGCACCTGGTCGATCGGGGGCCGTTATTTACTGGAATATTCTGGATGTTTCTATGAAATAAAGTGAACTAAATTGTTAAGTCTGAATAATTATTAGTGTGATTTAAGTTTTCATTGGTGTTCGGTAATAAAAGTGTAAATTTTGGTAATTCAATCGACAGTTTTTATTGTCACGATCCCTAAGCTCGTAACAATTGGTGTCAGAAGTGGGATAAAATCATGCCCATTTTACCTAAGGACAAAATGGAGAGTGTTCGTACCCGAAGTCAACGCCAGCAGGAGACGGACCAGAGACGATTTGATGGTGCAACGCCGCAGACGTCAGAGGGCCAACTGTCAGAAACGGAGGATGGCCCGTCAGCAGCTCCTACATCTGCAGCACCTGACTTAGGTGCTCTGATGGTGATGCTGCAGGAGCAGGCTCCGACAGGAGGAACAGGTCCGGCGGATGGAAGAGCAGTTGCGGGGCGGACAGGATGAACAGGCCCCGCTGACAGGAGGAACACGTTCGTCGTTTGGAAGAGCAGCTGCAGGGCGGACAAGAGGAATAGGCTCGTCGGTTGGAAGAGCAGATGCTCCTCATGAAGAACCTTCACGCTACCTTTGGGAAGGAGATAAAGGAGGTGAAGAATAGGGTTGCTCAGCATGACAACCACCTGTCGGAAGCTGGAACCCAAATCGCGAAAGCTGAATACCGAATCGAGAAAGCTGAAACCCGAATCGACCAAGTGAACAATCGGGTTGACAACGTGATGGCTGATGTGAAGAAAGCCTCAAACTGGGGGATGAAATTACAGCTCCCGTAGTAGCTACAACACCTTCGCTACGTGGGTTCAAAGTGCCGCCGTTCGACGGGACGTCTTCCTGGTCAGCCTATAAAATCCAGTTCGAGGCTGTCATGGAGGCAAACTATGTAATTATGGTATAATATATAATTATGGAGGCTGAATAAAAGACAGGCCATGACTGCACTCACCCTAGGCTTGCGCGACCAAGCCTTAACTGTGTTAGAAGCTCTTGGTAAGAAAGTGAGTTATGAGCAGCTCCTTGAGGCATTGGAGGCGAGATATGGCGACGCTCACCTGTAACACGTCTTTCGTGCGCAGCTTAAAGATCGCGTGCAGCGCATCAACGAAAACCAGCAGCAGTGTGCTCTAGAGGTCGAGAAGCTGGTGCGAAAAGCATACCGGTCTGTACCCGCGCTCATTAAAGGGAACCTGATGCAGACATTCATCGACGGCATCCGAGACCTTGAAGTCAGAGCTGCCGTGAGGCTCGGGCACCACGTGACGCTTAAGGAAGCCTTGGCCCATGCACTTGAGGTTGAAGCCGTGCGGCAGGATCATTGTTCCCATCGCGTCAGGGAGGTTGCAGCAGCTACAGTTCGCGAATGCAGTAATGGATACAGCCCTAGGTGCTATGGCTGTGTAGAAAGGGGCCATCTTCGATCCAGCTGCCCTAAGCGAACTGTAGAAAAGGAAGGTGATCGATTTCGAGGTGGTAGTGCGGCTAACGGCACCGCCCAGCAGCGGCAGGATCATCGTTCTCCTCACGTTAGTGAGATTGCAGCACCTACAGTTCGCGACCACAATAAAAGTTACAGCCCAAGGTGCTACAGCTGTGGGGAAAGGGGCCATCTTCGACTCAGCTACCCTAAGCGATCTGTAAAAAGGGAAGGTGATTGATCTCGAAAAGGTAGTGGGGCTTACAGCACCGCCCAGCAGCAGCAGGAATACGACTTTACTATCGGACACCGCAGCGGGAAATGTCGTGGCAACACAGATGCATTGTCAAGAAAACCTTATCCTGATGATTGCGAGAACAGTACTAGGCAAGAGGGTAAGGAAGTGGTATCTGAGAGGATGCTCAGGACCAGTGGCGAAGTTACAGCTCCAAACTAGGGCAAGCCCAAGATATAAATTGATAAAAATATAGATTGTTGTTTTTAGCAGTTTTATAAAAATACACCAATCTTCTTCTGTCTCCACGCTTCAGTTTCATATTCAGTGCTGTCAATGACGTATTTAACAAAGCACACAGAAGGCATACTACTGCTAGATAGATTTTATTACATATCAGCAATTGCATAGCTTCGGTGGCTTTCAAGGAGGCCGTTTGAGTTTGTTTAAGCGAAAGAAAAAAATATTTACATCCAATACAATACATGAACAAAAGTAAAACACGAACAAAGTACAAACAAACTATGTACAAAATTAAAAAAAAATTATTTACATTCTAATGGATAAAAGATAAGATAAGATAAGTGGAATCGTCTCGCTTTCTTAAGGAAAAATTTAATTACGTCCACGTAAAATGTTGGTTAAAGTTTTAATTGTACCCATAACTGTTTTTTAATTGCGATAATTGATAAGTCTGAAATACACTCTTGACCTTGTATAATATAGAGTGTATTTCAGTCTTATCAATTATCGCAATTAAAAAAACAAAGTTTAAAGATTTTACCTTTTCCTTGCCGATTAGCACTTTAACACACTTCAATTTATCACAAGGAAAACTCTTTCCCTCCATTTTCATTAAAAATCTTTAAAAAAGCATACATTTTATACTCGCAATACATTCGCTCAAGCTCAACACACAATGCACAAAGTACTTTTTGACACAATGTAAACACTAAACATTGAAATGTGACGTGAACTTGCTAACATATCGATGGCTCGTCGGCATCGGCGGCGCGCCTCCTTGACGTGACCATACGTCCCACTTTAGGCGGAACGTTCCCGATTTGAAGGTTGTGTCGCGCTATCCCCAAAATACGTAAAAATGTCCCGCTTTCACAAAAGCGTGACAATCATGCAAACCCTGTCACCCGTGCCATCATTATGACACCGCACGTACCAGGTTTGCATAGCTTGTCTAGTTACGTGATTATTCTGAAAAGCTACAGTTTTGAATTTAAAGTTACGAAGTGACAATTTTTAATTAATCTACAATAAATTATCAAATAACATAATATATTTCCAATTAGTATTTATTTGATGTTCAGAATTCACTTTTAATCATTAAAAGACTCAAACAACTATGTGTTTTATTTATAAAACTATATTAAAGGGTTTCAGATTGAATTTTGGTAACGGCGTAAGTATAATACTAACATATACAATAAGTGTAATACTACTGCTACTGAGAATTTTGTGACGGAAAAACCCAATAAATGATTCTTGACCCGACTCGGGTTTCGAACTTGGGACCACATGATCAGCAATTGCGTTTACTGCTATTAGACCAAGAAGGCAGTCAAAAGTGTTAGAACTATAATAATTTTAAAGGCGTCCCGCTCTGAGGAAAAAATTAATGGTCACTAAAAAGCCGGGCTTTTTATCTCCATACTAATTGCTATTTATACAATCGTAGTTATATTTCATTATAGAACATTTTGCCACAGGTTAGAAAGGGAGCGATCGCCTTCTCGAAAGCACGCGAAGCGAAGCCCACGTGTGCAAGGGAGACAACCAATGGCTCAATTCAACTCTCCTCATATGTATGACAGCAGTATTCGTAAGGCTATGAGGTCGAACAGAGTGCGCGGGAAATTTGAAATAGTTTGAAACAGTTTACGAGTTATTTTATTACTTGATATAATTGATTGATTCATCTTAAGGAGGCAAGCCAGGCTTTTGGGCTTGTATAGAGGCTTCGCCACTGCTCAAGACAGACCACCTCAGCAACGAGTGGAAGGACAGCTTACAATATGCACAACAGGAAGATCCAGACATCAAGCCGATTCTGGAATGGATGAAGGCCAGTACTCCCAAGCCGAAGTGGAGCGACGTCACAGCGATGAGTTCGACCACTATAAGCTATTGGGCCCAATGAGACAGCTTGCTGCTTTAGGATGGAGTTCTGTGTCGTAAATGGGAAAATGGTCAAGGAGACAGCTGTCGTTTGCAAATGGTTGTCCCTAAAGCTAAGGTGTCGGATGTTCTACAGCTGTACCATAATCGTTGTTCAGGAGTCCATCTGGGAGTTAAACGAACTCCACTGAAGATCCGACCAGTAAAACCGTTTTACTGGGTCCATTATCGTGACGATATCGAGGATTGGTGTCGCAAATGTACAAGTTGTGCGGCTGTGGAGGGACCTCAGACTCGTAGTAGAGGTGCATTGAAATTGTACAATGTTGGTGCACCATGGGAAAGGACAGCCCTTGAAGTTGCGGAGCCGGTTTAGAAAGATACAAGAGGTACTCCTAAGATCGTCCATGTGGATCGAAGGGTGCGTTACTATGGGGTCGATAATGCTCGGGACGAGCATGTCTTAGGAGGGGGCAGTGTTGCGCGCCTAAGTTGATGTCTGGTACCTGGCACTAGTGCCATCTAGTGTCAGGTTACAGAACGAGGAGAGCTTTCCAGAAAATGCCATGACTAATCGTTCAACCAACAGTGCCATCTAGTATCGAATTGAAGAACTAAGCTTTCTGGAAAGCTCCACACTCGAAGTTTCTGCACCTGGTCGATCGGGGGCCGGTATTTACTGGAATATTCTGGATGTTTCGGTGCATAAGTTGTATTTAAAGCCCTTGCAAGCTACGATCGCGGCAGTATTGAATTGGCGATACGAGCGAAGCATTCGGAGTGAAATAAAGTGAACTAAAGTGTTAAGTGTGAATAATTATTAGTGTGATTTAAGTTTTAATTGGTGTTCGGTAATAAAAGTGTAAATTTTGTTAATTCAATCGATAGTTTTTATTGTCACGCACCCTAAGCTCGTAACAATATTATTAGTTTATTATAATTATTAGTTTTTTTAGTTTACGAAACGAATATTTGAAATGAAATATAGTAATCATCACTTGATTTAGAAAACAATTTACTTAATCGTTCGAATAATAATGAGTCTAGTCCCATATTTTTAAATATTTTTAGGCATATAAATTAATAACAATAAATAACTAAACAAAAACGAGTATGTCGATGTCGATTGTTGCTAACATTGCGAACCATGAAGGTTAGAGAACAGGAGAACGATCACCACGAACTAAGGCATAGCACGCCTGTCCTTGAAAATTGTAGAATATATAGCGGCGCTGACGTCGGTGAGTAGTGACTGCGAAGGTAGCTGTTTATGAGTACAAGTAGATGTAGTTAGTTGAATAATGTACAAATTTTCATTTTAATGAGAAAATTTTCGTGTTCCGTAATTTTGTAATTTTTGACAAAAAGAAACATTAAAAAATGGAGAAATATTTTGTTGTGCGTGGATGTGCAAGTGGTTTAGCATCTAATCGGAAAAATAGACTCAAAATGACTTTTATTGACCGAACCTCGAGCGATCGCAGCGCCTCACTTATGGTATCCATATTTCTGGACACTATTTTCTACGGTGATCGTTCTCTTGTTTTCTAACGTAGACAGAGAATGCTATAGACAAAGTGATATCTTTTATCGCAGTCACACAAGAGAAAGAGCAACTTACGCCGATGTCGTGTAAAGAAATGAGAAAGAACGATGAGATTTTTTGTTTCGCTTAGCGTGTCGCCATTTTTAATATTTAGCAAACCACTTTGCTAAATAAAGTTTGACAGCTAACGTGTAGCGTGATAAATTCTTTGTATAAAATACTGTTTTATGTATTTTATGATAAGTATTTCATATTATATTTTGTTGTGAATAATTAAGACGTAGTATTCCAACCATTTTTATTTAAAACATGGTGCGGTGTAGTGTATTAGGGTGTAAAAGTGATAGTGAAAGGAAAATGGCGGGGTTGTCTTTTCATTCGTAAGTATACCATACTATCGGTTACTAGGCAGTCTGTAACATTTAATAAAATACATACATTGTGTATAATGTACTCTAGACGTAAATTTATCGCTAAAAAGTACAAAAATAACAATTGCAAATTTTAACCTAAAATCTTCGGTGTGGCCAACTTTTCTATAAGTTATTACCCACTATTATAGGAAATAATAATATCTGCGTACCGAAGGTGTATTATCCTAAGTCCATTTTTTTCGACATTCACTTTGTAATGTCATTGAAACAAAAAAATAACGATCTACTTGGTGGTAAAGTATTTTTAAGTCCAACTAAAAAAACTACACTACTACCTTTTTTTGGGCATTTAGCATCCATCCACGTAAAAATTGTAGTAGGCACGACGTTTTTCCGCTACAATTTATCAAATAGGTAAAATAATATATATAACTGCGTATGTTACCCTGGGCACAGAATAAATAATAGTACTACGTACAGAAGTTTCACCCTTGATGTTGAGTTGACAGCTTGCCGACCACTACGTTAGTACTCTTATTAGTTTGTGCTTGCCGACGTTTAATAGCTTTAATTATTAAGTATTACTTTGCACCTTTTCTCATTCTCACATCACGGCTGTTTTTCCGAGGTTACTTAGGGCTGTCAAGAAGGAGTAAAAATACAGTATGTATAACATTAATAATTTATTTACTTCACAATTGTTTTACTTTAATATAATGTTTCATAAATTTTTTCCGTCTCTAAAATACCGGTTATTAAATTTAAGAGTTGAAAAAACTTTAAATTTTATATATAATTTTAGTAAATAATAAAAAAGGAAAAAATGGACATGGAGTATCGGAAGAGTCATCGATTTATTTTTGGTAAAAAATATGAAAAGATATTCATTCAGTATACAACTAGAAATAATAAAAATAGTACCTATTATTAATTTTATTTATAAATATTGTTGT